AATGGATATTATCAAAAGTATAAATGATAGCAAGTGTTGGTGAGAATGTGGAGGAAAGGGAATCCTTGTAAAATGTTGACAGGAATGTAAATTACACAGTCATTTTGGAAAATAGTGTGAATGTTTTTCCAAAATCTAGAATTAAAATTCCCATATGATCCAGTAACTCCAATTCTGAGTATGCATACAAAGGAATTGAAATAGGTATGTTGAAAAGATATCTGCACTCCCATGTTAATTTCAGCAGTATTCACAATAGTCAATATAAGAAACCAATTTAAATGCCCATGAATTAATGAATAAGGTATTGTGGCACATGCATATAATAGAATAATCTTAAGAATTAAAAAAGAAGGAAATTCTGTCATTTGCCACAGCATGAAACAAATGGAACTGGAAGACATTATGCTAAGTGAAATAAGCCAGGCACAGAAAGACAATTATTATGATCTCATTTATGTGTGATATCTAAAAAAGTCAATGTCATAGAAACAGGAAGTAGAAAGGTGGTTACCAGAGGCTAGATGTGGGGAGGGAGAAGAATTGGGGAAGGAGAGCTGATGATTAAATTATGCAAATATGCAGTTAGACTGGAAGATGAAGTTTTAGTGGTCTAATGCAGTGCGTGGTGACTACATTTATCAATGTATTAATTAAAAATTGCTAAAATAATAGATTTTTGGCTGGGTACAGTGGCTCACACCTGAAATCCCAGCACTTTGAGAGTCTGAGGCAGGTGGATCGCTTGAGCTCAGGAGTCTAAGAGAGACCTGGGCACCATGGCAAAACTCTGTCTCTACTAAAAATAGAGAAACAATCTGGGTGTGGTGGTGGCACACACCTGTGATCCCACCTACTCGGTAGACTGAGGCACAAGAATCACTTGAGCCCAGGAGGAGAGGTTGGATCACACCACTGCACTCCATGCTGGGTGACAGAGTAAGACCTTGTATCAAAATGATGATGATGATAATAATACTACTAGATTTTCATATCCTCATCATAAAAAAATGATATTAGTGAGGTGACAGATAAGTTCATTAGCTTCACTGACACTTTCCACAATGTCTACATATTAAAGCATCCCATTATTTCTCATAAATACACATAATTTGCTTCAGAGCAAGGAGACCAACAGAGTACCTAGGACAGCAGGAGCAGGAGGAACCAGATAGGAAGTGACAGCAGTAACAAGTAACACAGACCAGAGATGTTGTCAGTGTGTGCCAGAAAATACAGTGGAGGTGGAAAGATGTTTTGAAGCTCTAGAAAAGAATTTGAAGAGTGTGCCAACACAATTTATTGATGGATAAGATATGGTGTCAAAAAAGGGAATATTGGCTGGCGCGGTGGCTCACTCCCGTAATCCCAGCACTTTGGAAGCCCAAAGTGGGCGGATCGCCTGAGGTTGGGAGTGTGAGACAGCCTGGCCAGCATGATGAAATCCGTCTCTACTAAAAATACAAAAATTAGCCAAGTGTGGTGGCAGGCGCTTGTAATCTCAGCTACTCGGGAAGCTGAGGCAGGAGATTCACTTGAACCCAGGAGGTGGAGTTTGCAGGGAGTCTAGATCGAGCCATTGAACTCCAGCCTGGAAGAAAAAAGGGGAGGAGGGAATATTATGGAAATAATAATGCAATCACTTTCTCTCAAAACAACTAAACTCTGTGGGGAAGAACAATTACTCTTTTCTCACCACTGCATTCTCAGTACCTACAATATCTGTAATACAATAATCTTTAATACATGAATGAACCAATGGATGATTTGATCAATCTAATAAAACAACTAAATGACTTGGAAGCATATCAAATGAAAATCAACTCATATTTCATAATAATACTATCAAGACAAAGTTGATTAGGAAAATTATAACATTTGGTTGCAAAGACTTCAATATCATACAATGTCAGTAACTTTTCAAAAATAATTTATCTGATTGGATAGTGTAATGAATGACAGAAATAGGTGATATGAATACATATAGCATGTGCGTGAAGACCAAAGTGAATATCAATGGTAAATTAAGTTTCCTGAGGTGTACATGTCTTCAGAATCATTGCGACTCAATATGCCATACTTAAATAGTTAAAACTCATGAATAGGGTTTTGTAAGTCTGATCAGGATTGTACAACTAACTCAATATTTTCATATTTGGTTAAGAAATTTACAAATCTTTGAAGCTATACCATTGGAGGGGTTACTTCTTTCCATATTTTCATTTAGTAAATTACTATATTAATTTGATTATTACAATTCTTATGAAAAGAAATGCCAGCTTCTTTTTATAGGTAGCGTAATAGTTAATTCTATACGTCAAAGTAATAGTTAATTCTATATGTCAACTTGGGTAAGCTATAGTACTCAGTTATTTAATCTAACAATAATCTAGGTATTTCTATAAAGGTATTTTGTAGATGTGGTTAACATCTAAAACAAGTTGACTTTAAGTAAAGAAAATCACCTTCAATAATGTGAATGGGCCACATCTAATCAATTAAAGGCCTTAAGAGTGAAATCTGAAGATTTCTAGTGAAGTAGAAATTTGACTTCAAGACTGAAGCGTTAACTCCCACCTAAGTTCCAGCCTGTTGGTCTTCCCTACAGATTCTAGATTTCCCAGCTCCCACAATCATAAAAGCCCTTTACTTAAATCTACACGTATATAGCTATAACTATAGCCATAGCTATATGTAGATACCTGTGCTACAGGTAGCAATGAACAATTTTTTCTCAAACATTGGTTTTAATCCATAGTGATTGTGAAAAAAAAATGTTAGGGATATTTGCCAGCAGGTTACAATGAGACAGTCATCATAGAGCAGTTAAATTTGAACTTCTGATAAAAGTGAGAAAGCCAAAGGAAATTGTTAGTAAATTCTTGAAAAGATCCTGCCAAGCTCAAGCTCTAGAATTAGACAGCCTTTGTACAAATTTTGGCCTTGCCAATTACAGGGGCTCTTGGACAAACTAATAACTTCTAAGAATCCCAGCTTCTCATCTACATTATGATATTATTAATGATTCCTACCACATACAGTGCTGCAAAGATTTAATGATGTTCCTGGATGTAAAATACCACCACAATGACTTGAATATAAAGAACACTCACTATATTAATGGTAATTATTATTTCTTAGTTTTAGAAGGGGAATTATACCAACTGTGGGTGCAGAGATAAATAAAAAGATATAAATTTAATTATAAATATTTACTAATATCTGAAGGGGGAAATGCCAGATATTTGAATAAAACAATTTCTAATTAATAAATTGAAGACATACTCACAGAAGAAAAAAGCCTATCTTTCTAACTTAAACACATTCCTCAATTGAAGAAAACATCTGGATCTAAAATGGTAAGTCAGGTGCCAATTAGAAATTGAAGAACCAACAATGAATTTAAGGAATACTCTGTAAAGAACCCTGGAGGCAATAAAAGATAATGGGTAGTTGGTCAGGTTAAAGTATAACAGACAACTTTCCTTTCAGCTCAAATTGTTTTGTTAAGTATGAAGATGCTAACTAGTAATCTTGCCAATAAAGTATCCTTAGTCTATGGATTTTCTATCAAATGGGGGTCACTCTTATCCTATAGTTTGCTTTTCTTTTTTGGAAGACATTGGGAACATGATTGGGGCAAGTAGAGTATTAGCAGTCAAGTGCTCCAGGGTATATTTGTATAAAATAGTAAGAGAGAGGGAGCTGAGGATGATTAAATTCCCTGGGATTGGTAAAGCTCCCTGATAATGAAACCCTGGGCGTTTACTAGAAGGTAAAGCATTGCTTCTGATCTTACCACTCCTTCCTAGCAAGCATCATAGGAAGGTATTGTCACAGTCACTAGGTTGAGATATAATGGAATAATAGCTAAAGTTAGTAATAGCTAATGACTTTCCTAGATTATAGTCATCTCCAAGAAATTACTAAAAGTATTTGAAAATTGCAACTAAATTTTGCAAAGAATTTTCCCTAATGTAGTTTGAATGCAAAAAAAAAAAAGTTTTCTTTTGTTTTGCTTTTAAATCTATCCTCAATTTTTCTGCTCTACAATACACTTCCTGATACAACTGTCTTAAGTAGCCTATCAGACTTTTCTTGTGTGTTCATTTTATTTTATTTTATTTTATTTTTATTTTTGGCAGAGCTAGCTGAGGTTTTATTTTGGACCAAAAAAAGAAGCAATTGAATTGTTTTATAGCTGGAGGCATGGGCAAGGGGGGTCCCCACGTAGTAAACTCCCCTGTGGGTGGGCTGAGGGCCCTCAGGTGGGTCTCCTGCTCCCAGTGGTACCCTACATAGCGGTCTCCCTCCCAGGCTCTGGGGCAGCACAAGAGGGGTAGGCTGGGAGGGGGTGCCGCAGCTGTTCACTTG